CATAAATGAAAATAAATGAATCGACAATCCTCGAATGACAATCGTAGAGTGCGTTAGCGCTGACTCTTAATACAGAAAAATGCGTTGAATCATGATTAAAAAAACAACAATGGTCATAATTTTCGATTTACAAAATTCTCATTTATTGAATTTGTCCTTACCAACAGAAGAAGTCTTTCGGGTAAACGGCCATAATCGGCCAGCGGCAAATCTTTCAGTTGTCGATTTTCATTCTCAGCCGAGAGAAATGCTAACACCAAAGCCACTGAATACGCAACTTTCGGTTTTTATTCTAATTTATTGGTTTTCTTCCTCTTTTAGGAAAGTTTGAACCTCATTGTCTGTCAGTGGATACGGAGTTTTTAGTGTTTTAGCCGCCATAATTCGAGAAAGCTCCGACAAACAACTTGTATTGGGAATCGTGGGGGCTTTGGCGTTCATTCATCAACCTGACCGAGTGGCGCCAAAGGCGAGTGACGTGTAAGCAGCTGATTGGCTATATCAACACACGTGAAAAAATACGATATTTTTCACGTTACGGCTTCTCTCAGGGCCGGAAATCCTTGTATAACACCGCAGTTTATGTGATAATAATTTTTCTCGTACCACTGCTCGTCAATGTTCAATATAGTAATAACAAGGGAGGATGAAAAGAAAGAAATATAAACATAGTAACAATGTGTCACTTACCTTCTGTCATGCGCTTTCCCTGACCCCCTTGCTCTTCCAAAGTATCGGCTTTTTTGGCCACAAATCCTCCTCCGCCACAAGATTTACATTTGTGAGCCTGTGATTCGAGGAACATGGCAGCTCTTTCGTGAAGCTCTTTCTTCTGATCTTCAAGCCAAAGAGAGTACGTTGTCTCTTGCACGTACGTGTTCACAAATTTCATATACAGGCAATGCTTCTTAAGACCACTTGGGGTCATGAGTCGTGACAAGTTGATCACTTTGGTCATCTCGTCTGCATAACAGCCACAATAGACTGATGCATGGATAGAGCTCGCAACATTGTGGTGATGGTGATGATGGTGATGATGACCATGGTGTTGCGCATGTACGGGATCGTTGAAATCGTAGAATCCGTGATGGTTATGGGCATTTTGGTGTTGTAAAGCTAAGCTTGCACACTCTAAAATAGACTCTTGAGCAAGGTTGTACAAAACCAAATCGATGCAGCTTCGAGAAGATCTTGGTAAAATGGCTTGCAGAACGTTTCTATAAAAGTCACAGCCCAAGACGCTGGCACACTTTAAAGTAGCTTGCTCTTGAGGCAACATTCTATCCACTCGAGCAAGCACCATGTCTTTGACGGATTCTGGAACAACTATCTTCGAAATATCAACGCCTGGACTGAGAATGCAAACCTTTTTTGTGTCCAATGGCATTGAATTTTCGGAGGCGCTGACAAAATCAGCTCGCTCCAAATTATATTGAATTTTCTCCTGAATAGAGTCATCTTCAGGGAAATGACGAGACGTTCTGTTTGATTCCAAATCTGATTCAGCTATTTTTGTCTTGATTTCAAACGGATTATTGGGAAAATTGTATTGGAGACTCTTAACAGCGCTTGTCGACCGTCTTCGATCCCTTAAAAAAGACAACGAGGTGTCCACGGTATCTTGAAAGCCAGAGCTTAAAGTGTTTGATGCAAATCCTTTGCCTGGAGTGAGACTTCTTCGTCTAGGTTCTGGACTGTTTGCTCCTAACCATCCTCCATCAGTTGCCTGTCCATATAACGGGGTACTGGGACGAGGTAAATAACTCGATGCATTGTTGTGTTTTTGTGCAATAGTGGTCGTGGTAGAGCCACCGAAGGAGAGTAAGTCCAAGCTAGACTCTTTGTTGAGAAAAGCTTGGCTCTCGTTGACAACCTGTATAACATTACTCGTCAGCATGTCTTTAATAAGCTGTTCACACCAAGAAGCAATGCCGTGACTCTTCTCACGTAAGATTCCGTCCAGTTCATTAGGAATGTACATGACGTCCATGAACTGACAGGCTAAGTCACTCATGTAAGAGGCTTCCAAGCCACCTAGACAAAGAAAATCAAACAAAATTGAGATAACCTCTCAGGAAGGTTCATTTGTATGTGTTATAAAGTTACAAGATGCTGATTTCATATTTGACACAAGCTAAGAAAATCATGGGCTATAGAAAAAAGAGTTCTTTTCCATCCCGTTCGAGAAATCTGGCTTAGAAGAAACTTGAGAAAAGAAGAAATATCATCAAATAATTCTATTTGTTATATCTGATTGTTCAATCCACGGTACCACCGCGTGAACCTTAACATGAATGTAACGGTATCGGTTGAAACAGTAACTACACGAACTATTATTTGATATCAACTTTGAAAGTAGGTTAAACATAAGTAGTGATTTTACCAAATGAGTGAGATCATGAGATCACGAGATCATCTACGGACTGTTACGACGAGGGCCTTGTGCCGCAGTTTGGATGTCTCAAATACTTGTGAATCCTTATTATCATTACTTAAATCATCTCTGTAAGTTTATTGTCACCTTTTCTAGTAGTAGAGTTATTTTCGTAAGGTTTTCTCCGGTCCAAGGGACAATTTCTGTGTTACGAAAGTTAATCATCTACCTTTCGTATGAACCGCATGAGCTTGGTCTTAGCCCATGAAACCGGTAAATATATCACTTATTTAAATCTTCAATAATCAATATCCTGACATTGAAAAAATGAATTATAAACTTACCGAGTTTGACTTTCTTAGTGGTTTCATGTCCAATGAGTCTGATGGCCGCCTCACACGGTGGGTTGGATGATGAGAAAGGCCTGAGTGACAGCACCAATATAGCGTGTGAATCCGCTGATAAATCTTCAATAAAGTCCCACGATTCCTGATCTATAAACTGAGCGTTGTCCACGGTAAACAGACACGGCTGACTCACTGCAAACTAGAAGAAATAGTAAAAGGGTCAAAATTGGTGGAAGCTGTATGTCCAAGAGTGACAAGTGTACCTGAAAAAAGACACATCCCCATTGATATGCCACAGCGACCTGCACATAGAAGAAATAAGGGGTAAAATCCTTATTTTCGCATTTCCTGCAGGTGAGCAAAACACCTTAAAGCATTTGAAATAGATTATAAAGTTCATCATAGATGTAGGAAAAAACATTATTTTAAGTTCAACGCGAATTCACTCATCAAGTAACACTTGTGTTACTGCATCACAATTTTCGACTACATACCTGATGGACAATTTCAAATAGAAGGGTGTGAAATTGTGTAGTTACTTTATCTGAGTCCATACGAGCGAAGTCAGCATTCGGTGGTATCTGAAGTAAAGATGATAGGATATCCGAGAAAAGTTGCATTTTGAGATCCCTAAGGTAAGGAGAAGGGATTTCAAGAAAAGGTTCAAGACATTTTACTTACGTGTGTGCCAAGTAGGTCATTCAACAGAAACATCTTCTCTCGCAGCTTTTGATCAGTAATGTGCTCCATGAGAGTATTTTCCTTTTCTGAAGCCGTGCGGCAGGCTTCCAGTTCCAATAGGTTCTCAATAAGAGTCTTAACAACGTGATAAGGAGTGTGGGCATGCGCCATGTCAGCCTCAACGTAATCCACCCTAATAATCAATAAAATCAGAACATTTTCATAATTTCATTTGGAGAGTCTCAGGGAGACATGGTAGCCTAGGGTTAGAACACTGGTTGATGGACTGACTTCCCTTGTAACGAGGGAAGACATGGTAGCCTAAGGTTAGGACACCGATTGATGGACTGACTTCACTTGTAAAGTAGCGATACTCTTACGCAAAAATCGAAATAGGCTTCTCAGGGGATCTGCCACACGATTTATTACACTTCTTTTTCAGATGATGTCCCTTAGAGGGCTCAAAGGTTCTTACTTAAAGTCTTCCTCCTCTGCAATGTCCATAAATGCCTCTAGCAACCTTGTTTTTCCAACTCCTCCTTCACCTTCGATCACCACAACTCTCCTGCTTCCACTTACACGGGTATCGTCACATTTAATGGCATGAAGAAGCGTTTTCATCTCCTCTATCTCTTTGCCTCGTCCTGTATTTTGAAATCATACATCACATCTGTTAGATACAGAGTGACCACAACCAATAGAAAATGACCGAGAAACCCAGAAGCCATCTTTAGTATCATTTAGAGGCGCGGCAGTCCGGCTTTTCATTGGCAAATTTAGAACGTGTCAAAGATAATGTTTACCGAGGATTGGGTAATCATATTCCTCTTCTTCTTCTTCTCGGCTGCAAAGGCAAACGAAGTAAAACGAGTTTTCATCATCCCATCGATAAAATTGATCCTATCGTCAAGCTTGATAGGAGAGGTCTTATCACACGCAGCATTTTTAACTCACTCGTGATGACTATTGTATTCCCGGACTGTTCCAGGATCAGCCACACCTTTCAATTTTATGAAAGGCAAGACCACGAAATCCTCTTTCTTCAACTTAGACTTCCCTGATCTGTAAGTGTCGTCATCACACGACAGGGTTCCTGGATAGTTCACCATTAGCCTGGCAGCCATGTTGACTTTACGGCCAATGACTGTTGAACCAATGATGCACGGCTTGAATTTAATTTCATCATTACCAAAATCTTCTTAATCTCTCAAGGTAACAGGAAAACGCAGCAAAAAAAAGATACAGATCTGATTTCATCCAAATGGACGGGTTTAATTAATTATATCTTCCGAAGGAAAAAAGCCTGCATGTTTCTAGTAATAAAACCGTAGGTTGAGTCTGTTTTTTGCTGCATAACATCAAAAGTAAACTAGAAATCCCCAATTTGAGACTTAAGCTTTCAAAATATAGGGGACTGGTAACCCTTCCGTGATGTGATGTTAAGGGTTCTGGAGTGCGATAGACTGGATAAGGAGTTCTTAAGATGAACCTGACATCTGAGAACAAACTATCTTAAAGCAATGCTTCTTTTCATCCAGAAAAACCGAGAAATGGTTCAGCTGCTGTATCGGGCACTTGATCAGTTCATGTTGACGTTAAGTATAGTACTCATGTCGTAACGCGAAAAAAAAATAAAAGCTCCTCCACAGTTCTGTAGACCCAGGCACTTATGAGACTTTCGCTGTCAATTGCAAGAAAACTATTTTAAAAGAAGCGAAAAAAGCCAAATGACTCAAGGGTAGCAAACCTGTATACTCGTGTCTGTCTCTGTGACCAACCACGCCACAGAACGCACGTCCAGTAGTTACACCGATGGACTCGTTACTGTAAGACAATGTCAGCCAATAGGTTGATGAAAACTCTGAATTTTCTATTTTTCCCACGCTCGTGTCCAGGCGAATCATCTATCTCTGTTTCATCGCCAAGCGTTAAATTTACCATCTCTTCTAGTCTATTTACGCGCATGCAGGATCCGTGTGTATGCAGTATCCGTGTCAAATGTTAACCTAGTAATGGCCTAGAACACTGTAGAGTCTCTGTAGCCCAATGGTACAGCATCGGAGATCTTAGGTACGTTTACTTAAGAGAACTCAGATCTTTTTTGTCCTGCGCTCGTCGAAAGACGAAAACATTATTCAACGCTGCACTAAGTAACGCCATTTATATCATGTAAAATAGCGATAATTTAGTAATGTTTCTTTGTGGATTGACCACTTCAACCTGATTACTTACGTGATATCCATAATCTGGTGAAGACTGTCCATTATTCTGTGGCCAGCTTTGAGGGCCCTCGTTGGGTCATCCTCGTGCTTATCACCGGGCAGACCAAATATCACGATAAATGTACAGCCCTGCAAAATATAATAGCATTCTCACTGCATCAGAATTATGATCGGTATTGTCGGTCACCTTCCGAGTGCCTCCCGTCCTTCCCTTAAGTTTCCTGCCATCCATCAGCTTATTGGTATCTAAGAAACTGTATTTTCACTTACGTCTGTTGTCAAGAAATTATAATCTCTAACTGTTTTCAAATATAGAGAACACATAAAAGATCAGTTCCAGAAGAAGCAATAGACTCTGGGTAAAAGAAGAATGTAAATCACTTCTTGTGCGAGCTATATTAATTAAACATCTGGAACACTTTCACCTTAATCTTTCGATATGCGGAGCATGCGAAATTGCACGAACAAACCAAACAATCGACAATCTGTTTTGAGTTGGAACTGCTGTCGAAAACAGCCATTGGGTTCATTCAGGTGCACCTCGACCCCATATCGATTTCATATCTTAAGACAAATGATTAATTACACGTCTATACAGTCACGACGAAAAACTAACGAGGCTGCTAAAGCACTCCATACCTTGTCGAAAGAGAAGACTTTGTTTAGATTGCCTGCAACACAAAAAAGTCAAAGGAAGGAGCTAAGGCAACAAGCACGTTTAACAAACTTCTCTAACTGTTAATCTCCTCAGCAAGTGAGAATGTTTTTAAAAATAATTTATGTTTGAGGAATATTGATATTGTCATGATTATATATTCACCTCTAAGTCTCCTTGCGCATTCATGAATAACCTCAAACGCCCTCTGAAGGGCCCACGAATGATAATTTCCTTTTATGGGCAGGTCCATATTTATGAACAGAACTGAGACCTGCCGCATTTCGGATAACCATTCTAAATCCTGTCCATGATCAATCTGTAGTGAAATGAATAGGTGAGATACAGCGCTCTCTTTCGTTTCTTAGAGCCAACGTATTCATTCAGTAAAAACATATTTGTGTCACGGGAGAACTTGCATGACACTTAGAAGTCTACTTTTCGTGTTTTATGCAGGATTCTCACTTGAAATAAGAGAGATATTGATCTTTAACAAATAACATACAGTTTCAGAGGCCGTACGTCTCACATTTCTTGGGGTAATTTATTTTTTCTCAAATGCTCCACAGTCATACCCTCCACGAAATTACATTATAAGTCTTTTACCAAGAAGAATATACATGAAGTAAGTATTACCCTTGATAGCACAGTTTTGGGGACATAGGCTCGGAGATCTTCAATATCCTGATCATTAAGCTTGCTGTAAATGTAAGTTCGATGATCTGAAAACAAATATCAGCGTAATTAATGCAACGCTTGGTCAACCAAATCATGATCTGGTCTCTTAGTTACTTTTCAGGTCATGTTGTTATGCGATCGCATTGAGACCTTCATGATACACACGAAAGTTAAGATGGAAAAGCAAAAATTATCCTCCTAAACAAAACGTTTGTAGCTTAATTTTTTTCATCCAAAAGCTTGTTTAAATGGCAAGCAACAAACACAATCAAATTGACAGGATTTTATTATGCTAAGAAACTGGAGCCTCTTATGAATGAAATTACATATACGATAACGTACTGACCCTAAAGTATTAACTGCTACTCCTGCCCCCCCCCCCCCCCCCCCCCCCCCCTTTCAGTAGCTGCCATTGAGTGAAAGTTATCTTTGGTTAATTTGGAGTCCTAAGCCTAAGCGTAGGTCGCTGTAAAAAGCCATGTTAAGATGGGTTCTCGAATCAAGTTGATTAAAAGCTGTTCGATTTCACGTGTGCACAGCTTTTATAGCTATACATTCTCTAAATTCTCTAACAGAATGAAGTCTACTACGCTGGGCCTGACTTACCAGGATCATGACAGCTATCGCTTTTCAAAAGATTTCCAGTGGTTTTACAGATCTGTTCTTTCTGTTCGGACTGTCCCTTTTTCCGGTATATTCTGGGAAGCTTCATTTGTGGATAGTATCGTGATAGCAGTGTGCCAACATGAGGTGCAAATATTCTTTTAGCCACAGATGGCGTTGAAGTGAGCACAGCTCCAGTGGACAGCACGCCAGACATCAATGCTAGTTGAACACCGGTTGGGTGTACTGTGGACACTGTTGCGGATTCTTCTTCAACTCTCGCTCCCGCTACCTACAATATTTACACAAGAAAAGATTTCCAAAGATTTCTGAAAGACTTCATCTACCGAAATAACATTTATTATTTCTTAAGCTTTCCATTGCGCACACAACTCACCCTGTAGTACATTCCGTTGTCTATCGTTTCAAACAAAAACAAAGACTGATCACAATTCGAAAAAGCCAAAAGTGACAATATTATCGACCCAGGCTCTGCCCACTTCTCCGCCGCATTTACATCCGAAACCGCTGACCCGGAGAGATCGAAGTGCTTGCTTTCCGTAACTCCGACGTGCGTGATTTGCATTTTGCCAACAGACAGGGCGATTTTAACCCGAAGAAGGACGCCAACATCTGTCATGTAGTTGTCGCATTCTTCTTGAATGGCTATACTGCAAATAATAGCTTTGTTGATTAACAGAGTCAGATCGTCTGAGTTTCCTCCGTCCTCTACTTTCCACAAGGCAAGCAGTGCGTCCCCTGTAGATAACAACAAACATAATATCCTACAGGTCATTTCGAAATCATCTTCAAACCTGGACACAACAATATCCAGGATTATTTCGGCATTGCGAAATTCACATTCTTACCACCCAACAACCTCCATCAACATCTGGATTGTCTGGATTGTAGAAAGAGAAATTTCAGTTTTAGGCGTCCTCTCTTTGAGTTGCGCTCTTTTTTACCAACGCAAAAGGCATATTCCATGATAATTATAGTATCAAAGTTCTTTTACACATTTTTCATTGTTTTATGTTATGTACATTTAAAATTCAAATGCGCATCAGTAACGTCAGTCGATATGGGGACGTGTGCTGACTAATATAGATTCTGATGAGTTTTAGGGGGTTGTAAACTTAAGGAAAGTGTTTATACATTGCATTCCTGTTGATGGACCGGTAGAGATGTGACATCGTAATGATGGATTTGCTCGTCTTTGTTGGTATCGGAGAGATGATAAAATTTAACACAAAGCTTGCTTTCGCGTGATTGTTTGCATGGTTCTTTGTTAATTCCATATGTACCAAAGGTGCCGCCTTTAAGTGTTGTCTTGAAGATTATAACATTAGGCCCAAACTATCAATCCCCTGATGGCAATTACTTCCAAGTTTCCTTTTGAGAGAAGTTGACCAAACTTACCTGCAAATTTCAAGACGTCGCCGCCATGTTTAAGAATATCTGTGGATGGTAAAGATCGACTTAAGTACCATTAATAATACAATGGAGGGAGGTGTTTCTTGTGAAATGTGGTTCAAACTGTTCATTGCCTATGCAGTAACTAACCTTCGATTATTTTCCCCAGATAAGTATTGAGTGTGAAGGTGAGTTTGTCTGTGCCACAGGACTCAGCCTCAGATGCCTTCAGACTGTATGTTTCGCAGAGTGAGGTAAATCCTATAAACAAAGAAGAAAGTGGCGAATTTTTTAAGTCTGATAGGTCCTTTTTAAACACCAAATGCTTTATGACTCGAATCAAATTTCCAGTAAATTGAGTACATGAAAAGCTCAGCGTTAAGTTCTGTTATAACTAGGTGCTGTTTAGGAAGGAGTGAAGACCGGACTCAAGAGAGCGGGAAAGTTAGATTAGTTTCCTTATAAAAAATTGACGAACTTCTATTTCGATTTCATTGGGAACCGCTCTTGTGTTCCCCCAACCGGATTGAATAGGAATTTTGACTTCAGAACCGCTTTGGAAAGGTTTTTATTTGGACGTTGGAGTTATCACGTTCAGAACTTAAGGCTTTAATTATTACAAAGAAATACTCCTGCAACCGCTGAAAATTTGAGCAGTATTTTTTCAGCACTCGATCCTGATCAAGATACGCAAACATTGAATTAAAGGGATTCTGAAGAGCTTTAAAGAATTTTTATGCTTGAGTTGATATTTTTTGAGTGTAATAAACAAAAGCCATCTGTCAAAGCTCTTCTGTCTTTTTTAACAAGCATACGAATCAATCCAAAGTATATGTATTTTTCTAGAAGCGTAATTATTGATTTCATTTTCCACTAATTAATGTAAGGCGTGCACTGAGAATCAAGTCAAAATCAATTTCACTCACCTGATATATCAGCAAACATACACACGCCCACCATGTGTTTTACACGCGGCATTGCCTTCTTATGATCACAGTTGATCACTATATCCGGGACATGCGTGAGGAGCTGACGTAATGCACTGGAGTCGCCAGATTCCTGTCTATTACCCCATTGACCTGAAAATATTTCTTTGGTTCATGCAATTTCGAAACTTTGGGCACCAGGGACTTAATAAAAAAGTACGTATAAACTCAGCGTAGATAATGAATATTTTGTGGATTTTACTTTGACGGATTGCACCTGATCCGCAAACTCCTTCTCTGAGCGAAACAAAATCACGCAAATTAATCTCGCGAAAAAATTAACTCAAAATGCTTTTTGAAAAAACTCCAGGGGAGCAGGTTTAGTTTTTTTGTCTAATAAACATCGAAAAAGAGAGACATTCTTTAACAAGTGCAGGAAGCCGACATGATATACATGTAAACGATAAAAGTTGCGCGCGCGGTGCTTGTAAACGTTGAAAAACCTACCGATTTGTGGCTGTGACTTTCTTTATTTTGTTTTTAACTTATTAAACGATCAACGGGGACAATGTTATATCCAAACAGAGAGCAAAGCAACAAGCTTGGTCTTTACAAGCATCAAATTAACCAAGATATCGGGTGTTTCAAAATTTTCCCTCGAAAACGTCGCAGACAAAATTTGAATATGCAAAGTCATTCGTTATCCTTAAACGCAACGCAAATGGCAAAAAGAAAAATTCATCTCACTCTCGGCTTGGAATCTAACCTGATTTCTTGTCCAGAGTCACTGCTTGTAACTCCTCGCCGCTCATTTTTTTGTGTATATTGATTTCATTTTTCCTTCCTAAACCAGCATATGATCTACATGACAGTTATGTTGAGCTACTTTAACTCTCGCTTGCGTCATAATAGAGGGATTTAGCAAGAGGACGGGAACGTCATTTCAGAACGGGAAAGCGCGCGGATAATCTGGACACGACTCTATTTCGACTTCCGGTGTTAGCGTTGCCGCTCTCCGCATCAAGTTCAGGCCGTCATCTCGCTGGTTTTCTCGTCGTGATCAAAACGCCTAGGATTTGCGTTAATTGTGCACTTATGCTCGCTCGAAATATCAGTTCTTAAACTCTTTACGGCCGTGGTAAATTTACATTTTCAACTCAATTGATAACGCTAAACTACCTTGTAACCGAATTCAGTTCTCAAGAATTTTCGTTACTGAATACAAACATAAAAACGATCATGCAAGTTATTTCATTTTTTCCAAAGAGTTCCATTATATCGTGATCGCCACTGAATGGAATAAAATCTTTCATACGTGTAAAAAAAACTAGGCGTCCCTTGAAATTGTCTATTGTTAAAAATAGTTATTAAATCTTTAAAAATCTAGTATATTCAAATTTCTTATACCTCACAGCTTCGAAAGTATAAAAAACGACTCAATTAAAGAAATTTACAGAACAGAGGCGCAGCTAAAAAATTACGCATAGGCGAACTCCTCTAATTCGACACACTGAAACAGCTAAAAAGTAGGATTCTGTAAGAGAAAAGCTGTAGTTAGTTTGACCACAGATGACAAAGTCAAAGTTGACGCTCGACTTATCGCCGATACGATTCACATGCAGTAATTAGGGACCCTCCTTTAGTCTCTTTAGTCTCTACTCTTTAGTCTTTAGTAAGAACATTTGACTTAATTGTTTGTGGAGCAAATTGTATCAAGCCCAACTGTCCTTGTAACTGTCCTTGTGCGTCTCTCAAATGCCTCTCCATCTCGTGCAGTTTTCTATTGGAGTTTTCTTCTAGTTCTTCTTTCTCCTGTAACTGTCCTTGTGCGTCCTTGAGATCATTCTCCACATCACGCATCAATATTTTGCAATTAAGTAATTCTACTTCTTTCTCTTGTAACTGTCCTTGTGCGTCTCTCAAATGCCTTTCCATCTCGTGCTGTTGTCTATTGGAGTTTTCTTCTAGTTCTTCTTTCTCCGTAACTGTCCTTGTGCGTCCTTGAGATCATTCTCCATATCACGCATCAACATTTTGCAGTTAAGTAATTATTATTCTTTCTCTTGTAACTGTCCTTGTGCGTCTCTCAAATGCCTCTCTATCTCGTGAAATTGTCTTTTGGAGTTTTCTTCTAGTTCTTCCTTCTCTTGTAACTGTGCTTGCGTGTCTTTTAATTGCTTTTCTATCTCAAGCAGTTGAATTTTCTGGTTATATAACTGTTATTTTTTTCTTGTAACTCTCCTGGTGCGTCTTTCATATGCCTCTCTACCTCGTGCAGTTGTCTTTTGGACTTTATTTCTTGTCCTACGCTCTCGTGTAATTGCGCGTGCTCTCCTATCTCGCACAATTTTCTTCGTGAGCTTTCCTCTTGTTTTTCTTTTTCCCTCGGCAGGTTAACATCTTCCAATTCTTTCTTTTGCAGCTGTGCTTGGGAATGAATCCCGCACTGGTTCATTTCCGTCAGTTGTTTATGTCTTTCTTGCATTTGATCCTCCTCCCTCGTTAACGGTTTCTGCGAATTTACGGTTTCTTTCTTTCCCTCTCGCTAGTGATTGTTTGTCCTTGTCGAAGTACAGTTCATCCATTTCTATCTCTTCTGAGTCAACAGGGCCATTTTTCTGGTCACGAGAGAGTTTTTGTTCATCTTGTAAAAAACCTAAATATGAGCAAGGAGATACTATTTTAGTGTTGCTACTGATGCAACCACCTAACGACTCCAATACAAAAGACTGGAAAGACACGATGTCCATACCATCGCAGAAAAAGCCAACCAACAAGTTTTTACGAAAACGCCAAACTTTCCCGCGCGAGATTTCCGCTTTAATCCCGCACGGAAAAGTTGGGCGAAAGTTCGTAACTTTTTGAAAATATCGGCGAAGGAGTCGCAAAAAGCAGCAGAAGACAGTCTAAACAAAGAAAGCAAAAAGTACTCCCTTGGGGTTATTTAACTACAAACACCGTTGGCTTTCTTTTTCGGTTGTCGATGTTAAACAAGTCACTCTTGATTGTTATTAGAGCGAATTCTTTTCGTCATATAAAAAATCTTTAATTGACCAAACTTGTTCAGTTAAGGTCGCTAGATATTAGCGTCGTCCTTTTTTCGCGTTTTTGTCCATAAAATGCAAAACAAGAACTCGGCCAGTATCCATCTTGACCTCACATTTGGTCAATAATACATTTGTATTTTGTGTGGCCGTGGTTTCCATCTGATTCTCTTGAGGCTAAGACTGACACTGTCCATCTGTCATATGATATTTTCGACTTCATAAAAAAGACAATATTAAATGGCCAGGCGGAGATTTCTCTCCGACCGTAGAAACACATTTCACGAATGAACGACGCGAACGGATAGAATATTTTTTTTTAAACGCGAGAAGAGAAATTTCATATCTCTAAGTGGCCATGTTACATTCTACTTCCTATATAAACAACAATGTATTACTAAATTATTTAACTTTAATATTTTTTTAAAAAGCAGAACAATGTGTCACTAAAGTAGAATTTGTCCCAGCTAAATAATGGAAAAAGTGCACGGCCTGTAAAGCGTGAACGAAATACAAATTCCGTTTCTGTTCTAGTGCAATAAAGGGCTTCAATCCTAAAATAATGGCCTCAAGAAATTTTTATTTTGGAAAACGCAAGCTATAAGTTAACCATAGCAACAGTGATCTTTTTACGTGGAAAGGTATCACGTGTTCCGGCGAAAGCTCACTTGGTATTTCATTCGTTTTTTTATAATAATTTATCATTTACAGCGACAGAGAGGGTGGAAATAACTTATCTGTAATATTTTGTAAAAATATTTGGCCTTTCAGTCATGTTGGATTTTAACAATGGAAAATAAGCATGTGAACATGTAAAAACGCCTGAACCAATCGAGAGCTGGAACAATCGAAAGCCTTCCCTCTCTCTGGTTGCTCTTTGACTAGGTCATCCACGTAGCCAATGGTTGATTGCCTAACGTTCGGTCAACTATCTGCTCACGATGAGGTTCAACATGTCTTTTTATAACCAACTGCGGGCGCCATAGCAGATGAACTACAAAATTCCATCATGACAAACTCACCCCTAAATGAAAATGAACTCACCTGATTTCTCTTTCTGAGACTTCTCCTCAAAATTAAATTCTTCTATTTCGGTTGCTATAGGAACAACAACTGCACTCCTCACAACAGTTTCGCTACCAGTTTTTACATCCTTGGTGGGAACAAAAGATAATTTGATGATAAGAATCACTATAAGTATTAATAATGATATTGATGGTACCAATAATAACTGTAACAGTTTCTTTATTCATCGTGCTGATAATACATATCAGATGCTAATAATGCACATGCATCCAAGTTTAAAAGTCAATAATTTAAATAAAATTTGAAATTCCATCATCTGTATAGCTAAATTGCACCAAACAAAGACGCCTGGAGGCATAAACGTAAGACGCACCGGCAGTTATCTAATAATGACTCCTCAAAGTGCAGGAATAAAATCGAACGATAAAGATCGAAAAAAAGTCAACAGCACGGATATTATTATTATTATCCTAATCATCATCATTATTACAATTATTCCAATTTGCAGTTAATTTAACTTAATGTACTGAGCTTCTTTGAATAGAAAAGTTATACATGCAAATTCAAATTTTGTCATGTTTACTGTACAAAATGAATTTTTTGGATTAAGTTTTTAGAGTTGATAGATCTTCCCTTCGACAAAAGTACTCTTTGATATAAGGAGAAGGATAAAAAGTAGAATTTAATTAAATGTTATCATCATTTTGTGGACAAAACAATTCTCAGAACTTAAAACTTTCTTACATCTCTGGTAACGACGTTCATAGCACCCACTGCTCTTCTCTCTGACAGGATCCTTCGAGCCACGTCACTCTCGCAGCATTCCAGTGGTGTTTGACCCTTGCTGTTTACGAGCTTTGTATCTGCACCGATATCGAGCAATATCTCCATAATTTCTTTCATAGTCTCTGCCTGTTCACCCCCTGACATAAAAGTCACAGCCAAATGAAGAGGGGTATCTCCTTCAAAGTTTACGGCATTCACATTGCACCCTGCATGTAAAAGTAGCTTCGCGGTTTTAATGCAGGGAGACTTGTACACGATTCCCACAGTTTTTGCATCAAATGCTGCGGCTAGATGCAGTAATGTATTTCCATCGCGGTTACGAATGTCTAAACGCAGAATTCTTTGAACATAGTCGATCATTTCCTTTATTTCATCCTCATTATCCTCTAAAACTTCAAATTTGGCGCAAATCATCAGAAGATTTAGAAAACAGTAAAGCATTTTTTCTTTTTCCTCATCTTCTTGCCCCTCTTGCAATTTCCCAGTCTCTAGTTTTTCTGTCAGTTTTTCGAATGCTGCCACAATGTGTTTTCCATTTGAGCACCGAAGTTCCGTTACTATAAATAGCCATGATAACATTTGAAGATCGTGCGTAATAGGTTCACCACAGTTCATGGCTATTTCCATCGCTCGTTTACATAGACCAATACAAGGTTTGTAATGCTCAGAGTCAGCCAGAACAATCCCATAAGATCTGATATCGTCCAGAAGTGCTGCAGAGTCAATTCCAAGGACTCTCTCTTTGATCATGAGTCCCTCCATGCGGATAGCATGATTATCATCTTTTAACAGGGAAAGTTCCTCAAGAGTTTGACTCTCTGTTCTATTTTCATAATCTTCCACAGGTTTTATGTTCTTTTTAAGCAATGGACATGACGGGTCCTGATACCTCTCTTCCATTGCACGCCTCATACAACTGAATGCTTCTTCGATGTCATAAGAATCAGGATCATTTGCAATAGAGGAACCAAGAAGTTCGAGAGCGTCAATTTTTTGTTCCTTAGTACATTCGGGTCGGTTGATATAATACTCGACCATTTCATATTTGCTTTCATTACTGGCTGCTAGTAGTGGGGTCAAACGTTTCTTATTTTGCCTCTCTTCTACTCCAAGAGAAAGAAGCCTACCGACAACTTCGGTGCGACCTTTTTCTGCAGCATAGTGAAGACACGTGTCTCCAGTCTCGTCTTGCAAATGGTGATTTGCGCCATGTTCGATTAGATAGGAAGCAACATCCATGTGACCATTGTAACATGTTATCATCAAAGGAGTACTCTCAAATTCATCTCTTGCATTTACATCAGCTCCGTTCTTGGCTAAACAACTCACAATATCAAGACGTCCATCGTACGCAGCAGCCCGCAAAGGAGTCGAATTCGTTGCATTTCTGCCATTAACGTCTGCATTGTGATCGATTAACAGTTTCACAACATCTAGATGACCAGTAGCAGCAGCGGCCCACAAAGGAGAGCAACCTTCGAAAACTTCGTCAGTGTTGGCTTTCACAGTTCCTCGTGCTTCGATATCTGCTTTGAAACTCAAAAGAATCTTTACAGAGTCTAGGTTTCCATTGCGAGAAGCAATTATGAGAGGAGTTGCATTCTCGTCGCCATCTTTGGTCTTGGAATCGAGCGCAGTTTTCCTTTCTTCAGTGTTGAGCCGCTTTAAAAGATTAGTAAGATCAGAAGAACCATCACGAGCAGCTTCATAAACGTTTTGTATCGTGGATTGCTTATTACCCATTTTTCGTTACGCCTAAGCGGGACTATCCGTCCCATCCGAGGTTTCCATGAAAGAAATTGTATTAATGATGGGAAAAAAAAAACACCAGAACTTCTTGACCTCGCGTCCTCTCCTAGACGAGCATTTGTAAACTCAACCGTCACGCTAACGTATTTACTGATCAGAAAGACTGAAGCCGATGCTTTATTCCATTACTTTTGAAAAAGGTGTAGTTGTTACCTCACCCGAGTAAAGGACCTGAACACGGATTATTTTCGTAATCGTTTATGCATATTAAGAAAAACAGTGATGGCACGCTGTTTATCTCAATATGCATGACCACTAATGAATTTCGCAACCGTATTATGCTAAATCTCCACAAGTTGTCAATCACTCATCCTTTCTGGGAAATCAGGAAGTCTGAAGCGTATCTTCTGTTTCGAGGAGGGGACGAAGAGAAATTCAAAGATAAATTAAAAGGCGTCCTACTAAGTTTTATTTCTATCTTTGCCGCACTGCAAACAGTCTATGCAGTGTGTACTTAAAATATATCACTCTCGACTGAGGAATATAACTGTACTATCTTTGCTATTTTTAGACAATTTATCTATGTCGGATTCATATGTACATGATAGCGTAACATATGATCTTAATCTTTATCTGTAAATCACACAATAGTCTTAGGTCTTTTTATAACTTCTAACGACGTTCGAAACGGAAAGAATCAATCCCAGTCAAAACACAGAAACATCAGCTATATAATCTCAATTAAGTCTGATGGCTAATCAGCAGGATGTTACTTATCATTCCTCATCTATCATATCATTGTGCGATTATACATTTTCCTTCACCAGACTACAATTCATACCCAGTGTGTGATCTACAGGCTGCATTTTCTACCTAGTCTAAAGTTTATACGTAGTATACACTTTACAAAAAAAACTGCTAGTCGATCATATCAAAGTCTCATTGCTGAGGCACTTTGTTGCAGACCTATATTGAAAAAAAAGTGATTGTTCCAGTTCACCGATGATGTCTTCCATGCTGGGTCTCGCTTCAGGAGCTCGTTTCAGACATCTCCGGATGAGAGCTCGTAGTATTCGATTTTTCACCATGGCAACTTGCTCGTCACGCCTGTCAGGATCCGGTAGTTTCCGGGTGCAAATCTCACAGAGGAGAACTCCGAAACTGTACACATCAAGCTATGTTCGACAACAAAATTATAGTTAAGGAAAAAAATTTACAGTAGACCTAAGTTCATTATCAATGAGTGCAAAAAGGTTCAAGTTTGATATGAGTGTTCTTCCTAGTTTAGTATTTTTTATGTCTAATCTAGTTCGCCACGCAGGAATCGTGCCTCTTTGGTGACCCATAGAGAGGGCATAGTCTAGCATAGTCTTACAGTGGGGCATTCTAAAGGGAAGAGATATAGGCTCCACTCCTCTCAAGAAGTTGAAGTTCATCTTTTCTTATTAACCTTGCTTCCGGCATGTTTTACCACGAGTTCACTTAAGACTACAGACTATACCTAAAGCACACGAGCGGTTACCCAGGAAAAGGGTTTAATCGCATTTAAAGATCAGACAATTTTTATCCCGCCAAGTCGACAAATTGATTTAACGTCTTATAATAAAAATACTTCACCAGACTGTTTATTGTAAACACAAATAAACAATTGAGAAATATGACCCTAAAATACAAATGTACACATACCTTCGCAGTTTGACTCTCTGTAAGTGCCTCAGGAGCACTGTATATCCTAGAACCAGGACAAGCCGTCATAATGTCTCGCTTGAAATTAGCCGTGCCATAATCCGACACTTTGCCTCGCCATTGGTCAGCTTCTCGCCACAGCAACACATTGGCACTGCTGATGTCGCGGTGAATGATGGGGGATGGTTTCTTCAGGTGAAGATAGTTTAATGCTCGAGCCACGTCTAAAGAGATGACAGACACTTCAGTGGGAGAAAGAGATCGCAGCTCTAGCAGTGCTCGCAAACTTGTTTCCATGAGCTCTGTGACAAACAAAGGACTTCGTTCATCGTTTGTTGCTCCAATAAACTGAAGCAAACAAGGGTGGCGACATCTGGAGGCAATATTCATTTCTCTCTCGAACGACTCCCGATAATATGAGGAAGATTTCAAAAGACTGTCATAGATTTGTTTCACGGCAACAGTGCACCCGCAGTATCTGCCTTTAACTACAATTCCCCAACCACCCGTACCAAGGCACTCCTCTGTCAGTTGAATCTCATCACGCGGAATGACCCAGTCAGGTGATTGTTGGCGTGAAAGTCTATTTAACGCCTGTCGAGTTGCTGAGAAAGACTCTTCTAGTTCGTCTACCTGCTGTTCTTTTTCCTCCAGCCGGCTCTCTAAGGAAGAAACCTCCTCATCCTTCCCTTGTAGTTGTTCTCCCGCATTTTTCAACTGCTGTGTCTTCTCCTTCAGTTCTCCATCTCTCTCTTGTAGTTGCCCTTGAGTATTTGTCAACTGTTGTGTCATCCGCCTCAGTTGTCCATCTCTTTCTTGCACTTGCCTCTGGAGATCAGTCAACTGAATCCTCATTTCCCTCAGTTGTCCATCTCTCCGGACGTTTGTCAACTGCTGTGTCTTCTCCCTCAGTTCTCCATCTTTCTCTCGTAGTTGCCCTTGAGTATTTGTTAACTGCTGTGTCCTCTCCATCAGTTGTCCATCTCTCTCTTGTAGTTGACTCCGGACGTCTATCAACTGCTGTGTCTTCTCTCTCAGTTGTTTATCTTTCTCTTGTAGTTGCCCCTGGGTTTTTGTCAATTGCTGTGTCTTCTCCCTCAGTTCTTCATCTCTCTCTCTTAGTTGGCGATCTTTTTCTGATAGTTGTCCATCTCTCTCTTGTAGTTGCCTACGAACATTTTTCAACTGCTGTGTCATCTCCCTCAGTTCTCCATCTCTGTTTCTTGGTTGAACGTGTTCCAACTGTTGTGTCAACTCCCTAAATAGTCCTTAGATAATGAAAATAGAACAAGGCATTTTTCAGCTTGTCTCACAGAGCGCGAACCGAAAACCCAAAACATATTCCTCTCTCTCTCTGGGTAAGTTTTATGTCAAAAGACATTCAAACTTAGGAACTAAATCATTTTGGACCCCATTTCAGATTACTTGGCACCCACCGCTGTCTGTGTAAAAAATATTTGTAATATATTCAATTCTCCTCTGTTACCTAATATTGTTACCTAAAAGCTCATAACGGAACTCCCTGGTCTTTCCTACAATTATTTTTCTTTACAAATTTGTTCCTCAACAATATCCTCTTACCTGATCTCCTTTTCGTTTCCCTTTTAACATTCTCATTTAGGTCTTTTTCGGTTCCAAGAACAAATCTTTCTCCTCTTCCTTCACCGACTCCACTTCCAGTTACTTCATTCTTAGAAAAAAAAAATGGCAAACACAAAGCAACTTAGGAAAAAAAAAACATTTTGGTACATGTACACCGAGTTTCCCTGCCAAACGAAATCAAAAAAAAATCTGGGCCTCGCTGTATTTTTATCAGGACCTTAAATGTTACGTTTTTACATGATTTGCCTTTGTTATGATTAACAGACTTAAAAAGACCTATGCCATGCTCAACTTGAAATGGGAACCTAAATGCGTTTTAGATAGCCTCTTTTAATTTAATTTTTTATTCGTAAAGTTTTGGTTTGCTTATTCTCCAGTGGACCCTTGAAAATCAATGAGGTCTCTTCTTCAAATGTGTACTAGTATAATTTATATGTATTCTTATAGTTATTTTTATATACTAGCTAACTGAATCTACTCATACCATTTCAACTATTGTTATATCAGGAGTATTTAGCTGGTTGACCTGTGACAAAACATGCTGCGTGCGAGTTCATGCCATCGCTGTCATTGATGTTTGGACGTCACAAGTTTAGCTTGCACATGAATTGTTATGATTTACTTTAAACGAACTCCCCACGTGATGATTCCATAGTGGCAAATTGCTCTAGTAATTCAAGCTTCAAGCAATTCAAGATAACATCAAATGTTCAACAAAAAGACTGATGAGCTTTTAAGATTATTATGATAGTTGCCAGTAAAAATATGCGCTGTAGAGGGATGTCATCGGTTTTTGCGTTGTCTGATAATTTCATTCCGTATGACCGCGTTTCCTTTCATTTTGGCTACTTGTACCATAAGTAAACAAGTGTTCATACATCAAATGCGAACGAAATCAACCGACGCTAAAGCCAGACCGTAAATATAAATAAACCTTTACTGAAAAGCGAGTCACATTACAAAATTAAGGAAAGGCCTAAATTTTTAGAATTATAATTAGGGACCAGTGTGTTCTTACTGTTTTGTAATTCATTCCGAATCATCGACAGTCAGAAATCACTTCAATTCTTCTCGTTTTGCCGTTTGAACTTTAATTTAAATTGCTTTGTTTTTGTTATATAAACATTAATCGGACGTGTGATCATAAGTCTGGTAACTTGATCAACAAATCCACCTAACGGCTTGCTATTGCTTTAAAGCCACCATCAGATTGAGTTATATTTATTTCGCGCATTTATTATTTTTTTTCTCATACTAGTCTCTCAAATATGGAACACTTCAAGAGAGGCCATAAAGTTCTGTTTTTTCCCTTTCCTTTCGGAAGTGGGGAGGGGGGGGGGGAATGGGGGCATATGAATATGTAAACATTTTAACTTTCCGTGATTGTTCATATATTTTCGGCGGTGACACTCAATTTTTAATGCACCAAAATGATGCTTCCTTTGATTATCACAGCATCATAATGAATATTTTCATTCATAAAAGGATGAGTTTGAAAACCATTAAAGTAAAAGAAAGGCAACCAGGCGTTACGAAACATCATCAACACAAGATCCTATGGAGAAATAAACTAAAAGTTCTCACATTTCATCAGGATGCTTACTGTGATAATTTAGGGAAAATATGTAAAGCCTTAAAATCAGACCTTTCTTGCCTTTCTGGCCTCGATGTTCATGGCACCTAGTCCTCCTTTTGCAGACAGGATGCCTCGGGCTTCGTCAGTCTCGCAGCAGTCC